ATTAGTTTCAATATAAATCATTTGAATAATTAGAAGTAACATTATTTAAAAAATAAAATGTATAAGAAAATATATTTGTTATATAAATATAAGAAAATAAAAAAATATTCTGCATAATAAAATAAATTATTTCGTACATTCATTGATAAACTTAGAATTTTTAATGAAATTTATGATATTTATTATTTTATTTAAAATTTAAAAATTTAAAAAAAATAATTTTAATCGTTTTCTAACTTTTTAGATTTTGTCTTAGTTTCTTTAATTCAAATATTTATATGCAAGAATTTCATTATTCATAAAAAAATAATGGACAAAAAAAGAATGCGAACGTGTCTATTATCACAGTGATATCTTTAATCGCGTTTAAAATATCAAAAATTTCATACAGCTTATTCCAAAAAATATTTCCATCGCATTACAAGATTTATAAAATTTTTCGAATGTTTTTAACGTGATTCGTTATCGCAAAGGGGCGTTCTTTGAAATGTAACACCTTCGTTCCTTACTTCACGGTAGGAAGCTACTTTTACGTTGAAATTACTTGCGCCATGCTCCAGGCTATTCGTTTTAACTATAAGCATTTTAGAAAAGCTATCTACTATGTCTATGACTTGCTTTTGCACTTATAGTGTGCCTGAATTTATTGCTACCAATTTGAGGGTTAATTTCTGGTTGGATAGTTTATCATAAACCCGAAATGCGTCACAAAATAATATACATAATTTGCAGATTTTCAACATCTCTCAAATTACTAACCAAATGATTAAATCATAAATAGAATTTAATTCTCATGTTTTGCAATATTTTTTGCGCAAGAAACTAGAATGTTTTTCACACTCTCGTATAATCAATTCTTTGAAATTTAAATTTAACTTTTTTCCTTATATATAGATTTAAATTTTTAAACTATAATTCCTAAATTATACAAGTTGTATAAATTATACAAGTATAAGTTATTTAATAATAAAATATATAATAATAATAATATATAATATGAAATAAATTATATATGTATAATAAATAAAGTTAGAATGGTCGTTAAAAATTTATATAATGCAACTATTTACTCAAGTAGATTTAGATTTTTTATGTTACGATATGATTGGATGAGTGAAAAAACAAAAATGCAAATGACTCAATTATTAAATGCGAAAAACATTACGATCAATATTATTGAGACCCAATGGAAATTCATTGTGCAGGCTGTCATTATATAGAAGAATATGAAAATCGTAAAATATTTATGGCAATAAGCGAAACATAATATTGATTTAAAATATAATATTGATTGTTGGAAAAGATTGTAATATAAAAAAGTAAAATTATATATGATAATAAAGATTGAAATAAAATAATAAGAATTGAAATTTTTATATATATATAATAATAATAATAAAAATTGTAATTCTAATATAAAAAACTTGAAATTAAAAATTAGAAATCTGAAGATTTTAAAGATAAAGAACTTAGAAATTCTCTCTAAATATAATTCAAGAAATTTTATTGAATATTAGATCAATACTATATCTTTTACCATATTAAATTAAATCAAATTAAACCAATATTTTTGGTTACTTATTTTATATCCCAAAAGAAGAAAGAAAACAGAAAATATGATGTAGAATAAACTTTTAACATTTATCTAAAATACCTCTTTTTTTTATCATAATAATGATAGAATATTAAAATTAATTACCTTTTTTCTAATTTTTCTTCTTTTAATAAGAATCTAAAAATCTTTTACAAGCTATATAAAGTTAAAATTAAGTTATGAATGTCAAAGTATAATATAATAATATATAACATATAATATAATAATAATATAAGCCAGATTTTAACTATTTTAAAAAATTTATTTCGCCAAAATGAAAACATTTTTATACCTTTTAGAAATTAACATATGAATAAAGCAAAAAGAAAGTATTTTTATATTATAACCTAATCGTTTTATTAAAAAATTTAATTTTCTAATTGAATCTACAATTAAAATATTTTCTATTATTAAAAATCTATTTTTGATTTATTATATAATCCAAATATAATAATAATATCTTATTTATTAAATTTACAATTTTTTAAATATTCTTTTAAAATATTTTTATTAAATTTATAAAATTAATAAAAAAAATTTTAGAAAGATAAATTTTGTATTTTCATAAATATATTAAGTATCAAATATTAAAGAGAAAATACATATTGAAATTGAGATATCTTTCAATGTCGGATTCATATTTCCTCATTTATACTTACAAATTCGTATCATTCCTTATGATTTGCAAGGGATCGAACTTCTTGAAAGATTTGAAACGTTCTTTTGGTTAGTCCAGTCACGATCTGTTAAGTTACGAGAATTCGTTCATGACTTATTCCTCGACGCAATTTTACTCGTATTAAATTTCCTTTTCATTATCTCCACCTGATACTCGTGAATTAGTCCACTAATAGTAATTTAAAGTCAAATACGTACGCTGCAATCGAAGAAAACTTTTATCAGTTGTCTTATCTCAGATATGCTTTTCATTTTGTTTCGTATCTTTAACACAGTCTAGAATAACATTAAAGCAACATTTTTTACTTTTAAAAGTTTCTGTCATAAACTTTATTACAAAAGATGAATTCGTTTCTAGTAAAATGATATTTCTTTTTCTTTTTTATTTTTTCTTCATTATTTTTTGGATTGTAGTTCTTGTATTATATTGTGAAAAAAGGAATACACAAAATGATTTCAATTCTGATTTAATAAAAAATATTTTTAAGTTAAATGTAAATAACTATTAAAATGTATTGATCTTATTTTGATCAATTTGCTTTTCTTAAATTTTAGTAATTATTATTGAATGAAAATACATTTTATTTTTTATCAAAAGCAATTATTCAAAAATATTATTTTGTAATATCCTATTAATTATTCTGAAATCTCAACGAATCGTGAATTCAATATATTTATTTATTATTATTTCTTATCTAGAATAAAACATAATATTTTTAAATTTTTATTTTTTAATAAATGCTAATTAGATTTATGCTTCTTTATATATACTTGGTTTTAGAAATTCATAAAAGATATATAGAATATATATATAGTTATATACTAAAATTTTTAGATAGTCATGAATAAATTACATGCAGTGAGTGGTTTTAAAAAAATTGACGAATATAATTCAAATCTTCAATTTATATAAAAAGAAATTATATAAAATTTTTATTTTCTTCATAATAATATTTTTTATAAAAAATTTTTTCTATGATATGTTTCTATAAAGAAATCAATGTTGATAAGATAAATATTTGTTTAATAATAATATGTTTACACATATTTCTGCAATAATCATAATCTTAAAATCTCAATTTTAAAATATGAAATATCTAAAATTCCTTGAAAAAATGTATGTGATATATTTTTGATAAAATTCGAATAATTTCTCTTGAAAATAAGATTAAATTATTTAATCTTTAAGCTCTATATTTTTATTTATTTTTCTTTTTCCACACAATATTTTTCTATCAGATTGATCGTAGGTAGGTCCCTAAAATCCATTATCTTCTCTTCTACTTTCTTATATTATCCTGAAAATTTTTTTCCGCTATAAAAACATAAGGGGACGTTAACGGTACATCAGAAAAACGTACGATCAATGTGAAGAACTCGAAAACTCTAGCCTTATGTACAAAGAAAACACTTTTTTTTTTTAATTAAAGTTTTATAATGAAATAAAGCATCATTTATTTATTTTTTATATTTCATTTTAGAAGAAAAAAAATAAGTGAATAAAAGTTATTTTTCACTTCAAATTCATTAAAAGTTTTGTAATAATTTTAAATCAATTTACATAACTGATGCTACTGAAAAAGAAAAATAAATCTAAGTACAATTATATATATTATATATAGATATATCTAAATAAGTTATCAATAAATTATAAATGAGAATCAAATTCTTTTTTTTATCTAAGAATTTAAAATTTCTTTCATAGAAAGAATATAATTTTTTATTTGATATATGATTATATGAATATGATATAAGATTTTATCAAAATCAAAACTACAAAACATATGCATGAAAAAGATGAATTTTTTTAAAAATGTATGATAATTATATATAATTATTATATTAGAAAAATTTTATATTAATTATTTTTCAAATTATTAATAATAATAATTTTATAATAGGAATATTATCATTTTAGTTAACGAAATTATATTTCATAACAAGAAATGTTAAAACAAGGAATTTAAACATATATATACGTATATAATTTAGTTATAATTAATATAGAATTTCCATTAATATAGAAATATAGAATAACAACATCAATATACCAGAATATTATAGCATACAATGTAATATTCCTGATTTTCCGATCGAAGGATTGTACGTTCAAATCTTGTTAACATTTCCTTATTTTTTTCTCATTTTTTACATGACAAGAATTAAAAACTTTTTAAACAATTTTTAAGTAATATTAAATAATATTTTCTTCCATTCCAAGATTAAAAGTATTGTTTATTATAATTTTCTATTTTCAAAGATAAAATTTCTTATATAAAAAAAATAAATTAACGATTAAATGGGTAAGTAAATGATTATAACATTCAAACTATTATATTATCCCTATATTTTCCAAATAATTTCTTCTTTGTCCAAATCTTTTTACATATCATTAAATTCCTATATAACCAAAAAATACATTACATATGGCATACGGCATCTACTCGTCTGAGCGTCATTCGTATTCACTTACCAGCAAACTAAAGATAAACACCAATTTCGAAACTGAATTCAATATATTTGCACATCAAACACAAACCACAGAAAGTTCTCATGCGAAACAGGAAAGGTTATTCACGTAAGAGCAGATTATATACTTTTACTTTTTCTATTTTTTAGTTTCAATCGATTGAAACCACCAAACTTCGAAAAGTTTGGTTAGATTCGCGGCATGCGTGTGGCGCGAAAAATGCGTTCGTCTAGCAGACGCACGCGGACAAGAAAACAACAGCATAGGGCGTTACGATACGTTGCGTCATGCCCCGGATGGTTTTCCGGATAGGGCAGTAATTTGGCGGCGCGGCGCAAGCGCTGCAAGGCGGGTCCAGGTCAACGGCAAGAACCCGGTCTAGTCGTACGACGAACGTCTAACCGACCTGTCGTTATCGCGATTCTCTGCAAGCCCGCGAGTACGTTCGCTTCCCCCTCTATCTCCCTAGCCAGCTAGGGAAGTCGAAGCAACAGGACGAAGCCCAAACAGATCGTTCGAATTTGCAGCATGGACTTTCCCCCTTCGCTAAATGATCGTTGTGCGAACTATCGTAAAGTTATCAATATGTAATCTTTTGCTTTTATTTAAATAAAAAAAAAGTGATGATTGGAAGTGAACTGTCCATTGGTTAACAAATTTCAATCTAGTAATTGAATTATCGATGATTATTATTGAAAATTGAGTATTCAATGAATTGCTACAATCATTATATAGTGTAATATTGTTCAGAATATTAAAAGATATTAGTTCGGTAAAAGAGAAATGTGTTGGAACATGTGAAAATCATGGAGTAACGATATAAGAAAAGTTAATAAGCTCTCTTTTTATTCGTAAGAAATGTTCGTATATCGATCAAGAATGGTAAATGAAAAGATAAGCAAAAAGTATCGATATTAGGAAATTTATAAAAAAAAAGTTATAGATTAAAAAAAAATCTTTTTCCTCTCTTCGTTTATTTTCGTGCTCAAATATCGTACAAGCCGGTAAAATGGAAGACGCGCGGAATTCGATGTTTTTATTTTTTCTTCTTTTTTTAAAATTTTTTTCTACTTTTATCCAGTGTGAGAAAGAAAGGAAGTGATGGAATAAGTGTAAGACGGATAAAGGTCGACGCACCTGTTTTGTTTTCACTTTACAGTTCGACGACTGTAGTCGTTATTTTCCGGGCAGTTGGAACAGTGTTGTTGAAATGGTAATTACATTGGAGTGATGTGAACAGTTTCTGGTGATACTCGACGAAGTTTCTCGACAGATGAATCAGCCATGCAAGGATCGACGATCGATTGGGAGATAAAGGAATCCAATAGAAACTGGTATTCCTGTATTTGCTGTACTTCGATAAGAGCATCGCATGTTATTGTTTCTACAAGTATGTGAATTTCACTCCTCTTATCCTTAATGTTCTATAAGGATTATCGTCAGGTTATTAAGATATATTGCAAAGGAAGGGTAAAAGCTTCTCGATAAATGCACATGGCGCGTCTTGTGAAAGGTCGATTTATTGAATTCGTTGCATCGGAGAAAAATTTTTGAAACAATTTCGAACGTATCTATACACGATTGGTTATAATTGATGCATACGTTATATTGACAAAATTGATTACATTTCTATGATAATTCTTTTTGACAAAACGAAATGATTCGCAATGATAACTTTACAATGTTAACAGAAAATATTTAAATTAAGAAGTTTCATTATAGCTCATTATAAGAAACATTGATAATTATTTATCAAGGTGTTTATCAATTTTCACTATTTTTCATTGTTTTATTCGTATTTCAATTTTTTATACATTTTTATTATAATATTAAAAAATATTTAATAAATAACATATGTTGTGAAATATCTATAATAAATATATAATATTTTGAATATTTAATTTATTTTGATGAATTTAACAGAAAGTATTAAATAATGAAAATTTTTGTGGACACATTTGTACAATTAAGGAAAATTTTTAATTGCAATATCTGACGAATATAATTAATGTATATTTATGTAAAAATGTTGTTACATTTTATTTTAAATAAAAAAACATTAATATTAAGTTTTCGATAATTTTTAATTTTAATATTCAGTTATTTGTATTATAATAAAGAATAAAAATAATTTTTTCGATAATATAATGTAAAGTTGTTAATAATCCTATTCAATATTACTAAAATTCATCAATATTTGGTTTTGATATTTAATATTTTATAACGTAAAATTAATAATAATAAATATATCAATATAATTTTATATTTATATTGATGAAAACTCAATATTATTAATTTCTTTTTCATTTATTTTATTAAATATTCCGCAAAATATATACAATTTTATGGAATTATTATTCTAATGACATTCTATCAAAAGCATATTTGATTTTCAAACTTATATGAAAACCACGCACACATTGCATGAAATATGTGCATTTGAATGAAGAAACGTAATGTAATATTTTCAACGTGCAACATGTTCGAATTGATTTTTCAACGTAAAACATTATTGAGCGTCGTTGAATGTAATTTTGAAATTCAATTAAATCGAACTTAGTTGAAATGCAAAAAATTGATCAGCATCGAAAGATAACAATGACGTATGTAGCAAAATATCCTCAGTAAAATAGTTTGTATTTAGACGAGCGATTTAATCATGCGAAAAAACGCGAATAACTTGACTTTAATCCCCTTTGTGTGCACGAAACCTTTGAAACAAATGGAAATATCATGGTAATTATTATGCTATCAATTATATCGCCATTAGAAAACACACGCAACGCCTTCAAGGCCTTTAAAGGCGACTCTCGCCAATTCATTGATTATTCCTTATATTTTATGGTAGCGATCATCCTCCCGATCTTAACGTTTTTAATTATTTGCAATTGATACCGTTAATCGAATAAAAATCACATTGAATATTTTCTTTGAAATTTGAGAAAAAATTTTTATTATTTATTATATGAATAATTTTTTAAAAGTAATTTTTGTGAAAAATAATTATTTCTATTTTACAAAAATTTCATAATCTAAAATTATAAACATATAAATATAAAATGCAATTCGATTAGTTTTTAAATTTTTTATTAGTAAAATAAAATTATGAAAATGAAGAAAACATTATTACATTAATTTTTTAATAATTATTTTGATCTACATGTTTTGATTTACATGTTTTATATTAATATAACTATACACAACAAACACAAAAAAATTAATTAAAGTTAATTATATTATATTATAAGTTATAATTAAAATTTCAAAATAATATTTCTGGGAGAAAAACATTTATTGTATAATTATTAGTTTTCATTACTAATTATGTAAATTATATAATAATATATTTTTATTTGGCATAGAATATAAATTGTTAAGAAAATCTAACACTAATTTTTTATTTTATTTATCTTTTAAAACCTATATTTTATTTATCTTTTAGAAGTAAAATGTACTTTTTCTTAGCCATTTTTTGAGTTTCCATCACACGTACCCAATGGGATTTAAGTCTGGCGATTGCGGGGGTGTAGATACATAAAAGTTATATTGTATAAAATCCGTTAACATACTATACAGGCAGTATGTTCGAAACTCCGATTCTATTGGAAATGTTTTCAATTTTTTTAGTTTGTTAAGCACTTTTTGCCAATTCTCTTTAAATAAAATATTTAAATGAAAGTTTATCCATTATTCGATCAATAAATACAATGCTAATTCTTTATCACTTCTGATGATACAGTACGCTTATTCATCATCATATTTTCTTTTTATGTTTCATGATAAATTATATGTATGTATGCTTTTGAATATATGTAATTCTGTACTAGTTTTTCGTCACGTACAGATTTTTTCTTTAAATGAGAACGGTGAAGGAATATCTTAACTTGAAATTATTCAAAAATGTTTGGTTCAAAGAAGAACATCATATGATTTTTTTTTTGTTGTTTTTTTTGTGAAGTGAAAAAAATTTTTAAGTTAATCTCATTTTTTAAATGAAATCATACAATTTTGAATATATCGATTTATTTGAATATTCTTTATAAAAGTATTAATCTTTATATAAAAAAATTATTGGTTTAAAAGATATTTCAATTTAAATGTTGCAGTTCCATAGAATTTATTGATCGAAAAGATATAATCAGTCAAAATTGGTTCTAATTCAATAAGACAACCTTCACAAGCAAGTTAAATAAATTTATATATATGAATACAGAATATTTATATACATGTATTTCTCTTATTTATCGAATGTTTATTATTGTTTAATGCATGTATTATATTTTACTTGTGTTTTGTTTAAGTGACCAAAAAAAATGCATGTGTTTCATTTTTACGTGCTATTTGCAAAAATTATTTAATGAAATAGAGTATCAAAATGAAGTAAAGTTATTTTTCCAATTCTCGAATTTTAGTACTAAGGAACTTCAACATTTAATTAAAATATTTTCTAAATTAGTGGTTTCTTATATAAATGTATATATAAATATATAAATATATATTATAAAAATATATATATAAATATATAATAAGTTAATATTCTTTTTATAGGAAATCAAATAGTTCGATTAATGTTTTCAAATTGTAATTGTAATTCAAGTTGTAATTTAAAAAAAAAATGAAGTTGATTTAATCTATAAAAAGATCTGTAATTTACACATAATTTATATTCTACTTAAAATCAGATAACTTTTGTTAAAATATTTTTTTGACAATTTTAATTATGAGATATTTTAGTGTTTTTATTTAAAAAAAAAACTCTATAAATATATATTTCTGCATTCATTTTAATTTTTTTATTCTCTAGTATATAAAAGGAGGATATTTATTCTCTAGTGTATAAAAAAAATTAAAGTATAAAAAAAAAAATATTAAGAGTATAATATTAGATATAATATAATACTAAAAAGTATTAGTTTTTTAAAAATTATTAAAAATATTCTGTATAATTAAAAAACATATTTGATTCATTGATAATATATAAATTATATTTTTATATATATATAATAATATTTTTTCAAAAATTCATAAAAATTTCGAGTAATTTAGTGATATCGAAAAGAGCTGATTTGAAACAAACAGGAAAAAAGCAAGAGATTTTTTCTGTGAGGCTTGGATTAACGAGATTTTATGAGCGATGAGGGATTATCTCTGACTGAAAGAATGAAAAGGACCGGATAAAATTAAAAAGATTGTTTTTTTTTCCCTTTTGAAATCATAATAGATAACATTTTAAGACACTTTAGTTTTTTTGAGGATTTTCTACTTGTATCATACATTCATATCATATGATATAATTATAAATAAAAATTAAAAATTAATTATTAATTTTTAAAATTATAATTATATATTTAAATTTAAATTTCGATTATTAAAGTTTTTTATTTTTAAAATTTCTTAATTGTCATTATAAAACAATTTATTGTAAAATAATTTATCATTATCCGATCAAAATAGAATGTTTTTATTCTGTATTATTTTTTTTATATACTTTACTTTTTATTTTTTTAAATATTTCTATTTTCTGTATTTCTCCAAATTATAATAAATTCATTATGATAGTTTTCATTTTATATATATATATGATTTATAAATATAAATTTTTTTAATTCACTAATAATTCATTAATATATGTCATATCAATATAATCATTATATTATAATTATTAATCGCAATTAAGTATTAAATATCAGCTTATCAATTTTTTTATCAAACATTATTTAAAAGAGTATATTATATGTGGCTAATAGAATCATATATTTACGATTGTAGTTGTAATTCTTCATTATAATTCTTTTTCAAAAATACTCAAAATTTTATTTCTTATTTTTATTTCTTCCTAAATCGAATCATTTTTTTCATCTTATACGGCATAATATAGAAACAACATTGTGGACGTACATAGTTATTCAATTTGTTACAATTATGTCTGCGAATATGGAAAAATGTTCCTGGGTCTGTAGTATATTTACAGAAGAAATATTTGAGGTGCAACTTAGACCAACTGTATTTCACTGGCTATTTCCCTCATCGACGGCACGCTTTCCTCTTTAAATATCACTTACCTCTCCGGGTCTCTCAGACCCCAGGAAAAAATAACTTTTTCCTATTTGAATCCTCGTAATCTCGCGTTTTCGCTTAACCGCTCGATGTTGCTCGCCATTTCATCTGTTTGTTCCGACCTCGTTGCTCATTTTTTCCATGGGTTGTGTATTTAAAACGTGATGTTGAATTTAATATTGTACATTCTAAGTATGAAGCATAAGATTTCATATTTTTAAATATGAAATAACTTGGAGAATAATGTTGATTCTCGGTTGAAAATTGCGTTTGCATATCGAAACAACAAATATATCAAAGTTTTTCGTTGGAAAAAATAATAGTTAAAACTAT